GTCGAGCCTTGTGATGGCTCATGTACAAAATATGGTCAGTATTCCCAAAAATACGATCGTATTTCTCAGTGTCTAGCCCGTAATTTCACTGTCGAGAGGAGTCTTGGATGCGCTGAGACTTAACCAAAACGGCGTTTTGGGCAAAATACGGGCATGGAAGAATTACGATCGTATTTCTGCCCGTATTTTGCCTAGAATTGAGTTGAAAGAGGTAGATTCGAGCCAAAGGAAAGGGATTCGAGTTTCTGGAACAAAAACAGAGTCCTAGAGAGAAAGTGCGAAGAACAAACCCTAGGAGTGATTTTGCAGCTGGGTTTCATCAATCAAGCTTGGATTTCATCATTGGAGTGAAGATTATCATCCCAAAGCAGATTCTTCCCATCATTATGAGTATGACTGCTTTGTATTATGTTTTCCTCTCTCTCCCTATGGAGTAGAACTCTCTCTCACTTGGGTATGAAGAACCCTAGTTCCATGTATGAGGGATATTGATTGTAATGACTTTTGAGATGATATACTGTTTGATTATAATCGATTGAAGTGTGTTTACTGAGTCAATTGAATCATGATCAACTTCTCTTGATTTCTGCTCCAACCTGTGATAGAATTTGAATAGGTTGTTAGAGCTTCTTCAATCGATATGAGTGAATTGATTGTACAAGAGTCAATCAATTCACTGCTTTGTACTGGAATCTCTTTCCAGTAGTGGGGTTCTATGTTAATTTCCTCAGCGTTCTATCCCGGTCTCCTTCCGGGTAGTTTGTCAGAGAGGGCTTGGTCAGCTTAAGAGATTCCAAGCTACTGTCGGATCTTCTGCAGTTTAATCAACAGTAAATCAAGCAAAGGAAATTACAATTTGAACCTGACTAAGGACCTAGGGGGACTCATTCCCGACTGACTCTTCTCTTGATTCAGAAAACCGGACAATTTACTGCTTTCTTTCTGCTTTAGTTAAAACTCATTCTCACTAAACTTAGTCCCGCTAGATAATAGAAGTTCATGGAGTAGGCAGTAGATCTAGACCCCGGGTTGATAAATTAAACTTACCCACTATTCTTCATTTCCATTCCGCGATTACACTTGGTCGCAGTTTGGTTTTGTGTTTTAGCGTGTCAATAACGTCAGCTGGGGATGTCTTTTCAAAATCCTATCGAGTTTGGGTTTTCCGGCAGATCTGCAGAAATGGATTAAAGGGTTAGTGTCGTCTCCCTTTCTTTCTGTTTTGGTGAATGGCGAAGCCGCTAGTTTTTTCAAGATGGAGAAGGGGTTACGGCAAGGAGACCCTATATCCCCTTTCCTTTTCAACCTTGTTATAGATATCTTATCGACGATGCTGGAAACCTTACGCGAAATGGGATTAATTAGTATTTTTTATGGACGAAGGCGCGTCAAGTGGTTAGGTTAACCATTTGTTGCATGCCTATGACACTATTGTATTTTATGATGCTAATGAAGAACAAGCCATGAATCTGTTGGCTACTCTGGTGTGCTTCCAAGCCATTACAGGATTGAAGATCAATGTGGACAAAAGTGCAATGTGAAACATTGAGAATCCTGTGCGGTTTGCTTCCCTCTTCGGTTGTAGTTGGATCTTTCTCCCAACTATTTACTTGGGGTTGCCGCTAGGAGCCAGTCCTAATTCGATCTCAGTCTGAATCCCTGTTCTCACAAGATTTCAAGCTAGGCTAGAGTGCTGGAGAGGTGGCTATCTCTCTGTGGGTGGGAGGCTGATTCTGACTCGGAGCACTTTTTCTAGTCAGCCAGTCTACCTGTGAGCACTCCGAAAAGCTCCAAAATCTGTCATTAACAAGATGGAAAGCGTCCAAATGAATTTCATTTGGTCTGGGGTGCATGAGAAAGGCAAATATCATCTTGTTAATTGACAGCAATGTAAAGCACAAGTTGCTGCAAGTGGCTTGGGAATTTTTGATCTTGAAAGTATGAATACTGCCCTACTTTCAAAGTGGATTTGGAAGTTTGCACTTGAACGTGATGCCTGGTGGTGGAGATTGATTAGTATTAAATTCCCAAATACCTCTTCTATTTGGATTTCTAGGCAAGGAAGTGGTAGGATTAGATGGTCTGTGTGGATGTCTACTTTGAAAGAAATGGGCAATTTTTGGAAGTTCGCCTATATTGATCCAAGTGGTGGCGCTTGGTCTCGTTCTGGCAAGATAGGTGGAACCGAGGGGTGACCTTAGCATAAGCTTTCCCAAGAGTTGCTTCCGTCTTCGCCTTCCCAATGGCTGGATTTCTGACTTCATCTCCTCTCCGGATACTGTAAGTTGGAATATTTCTTTAAATATTTCTTTGAGGGTGGGGGGGCTGATAGGGAGATGGTTGATCTTTTTAATTATCTACGGGTTCTTGCAGGTTGGTTTGGGTGCCCGATCCTAAGGCTTGATTATCTGTTCGATCCATGTACAAAAGCCTGTGCTCCGAGAAGTTTCCCGGTATCTCAAACTTTCCACACAAGGTTGTGTGGCGTGCACAGGTGCCCTCGAAGATAAGCTGCTTTATGTGGTTGGTCTATCACAATAGAATATTAACGCAAGACAACCTGATGCGACGTGGCTGGAACATTGCGAGTGGATGTACACTTTGCAAGGCGGACATTAAGACTACTAACCATCTATTTAGAGAATGCATATTCAACAACAATATTTGGACTTCCTTCATGTAAGTTTTAATGGTTTTGGACCCCATTCTGATGAGATGCAAAATGTGATTCAGAGCTCACCTACTAAGGAACTTTCCGCATGGCTTGAACAATTCGCTCATCTCTTTCTCCACGCTTTCACTTGGGAGGTTTGTAAGGAACAAAATGGAAGGATGTTTAACGATGAGTAGCATAGCTGGAAGTCCATTTTCCACATGATTGATAGAATTCTTCTTAGCTGGGTGGCGATAGAAGGGCTGGTCAGCGAGATTAACAGGAACGAGTGACTTTGGCTCCTCTGACAAACTTGCCCTGGTGATGGTGACTTGGGACCTGGTTCCTATTTGTTCTTCTTACGTTGGTGCAGCAGGAGGGCCTGATCCACGCAGCTACCTTCCGATTCTTCTTCCTTTTTCTGGCGGTGGCGCATTGTTTTGTGCTGCCTGCCCTTTTTTCTTGTTTGAACTATTGATCTGAGAGGTTCAGCTCTTGTGAACACTCTTAGGTCTTCCCTGTTTACTTTCTTTTTAATAATAAAACTTTCACCCTTATAAAAAAGGAAATTTAACTCAAATCACACATATATACATATTAAATAAATAAATAAATCTCATATCATCGTGTCCTCCAAAAATCAAGAAATACATTCGATACTCAATCGTGACCAATAAAATCTGGACGCATGACTTCAAACTATCATCTAAATGATGGCTCATTTCCTCGGTAACTAAATTGCTCATCCAAAGGACCCAATAGATACTTATTATGGTCGGATGCTAATGGGGAATCAAAAGTTCATCTTATGAGTTGAGATAGTTGTAAGGTTCCGAAGTCTAATGGGGTTGCGCATCCCATATATTGAATGTATGAACTTGGCCCTTCTTAGCAAATGGCTATGAGGATTTGCCACGGAGAAGGATTCTTGGTGGCGTGATTGGATTGCAATCAAATTCGCCTGTCATAAGTCGATATGCAGAACACGGGCAACAATCTATGGACTCAGTGGGATGTTCAGTTTGGAAGCGTATAAGCAAAGAAAAATTCATTACCTTTTTTTTTACGGAATGTATGTTCTTTGTTTTAAATAGGATTTTAATTTTTTGAACAAATGAAATGAGTACAAAATGATATATATTTTATATATATTTCCACAAAGAATTTAGTACCATCCATTACCACTCGTTGCCAGTTGCCACCCTACTACCACTCTATATCAGATTCGTTTTTAACTCAAATTTTGAAAACTTTTACATAGAATAAATGAGTTCATCGTGATCTATGAATTTTCGGAAAAGAAATTGCAGCACCAAATCTACGACCCTATACCACCTCGATACATGGTGGTAACTTGTGGTAGACGGTGATGAAATTGGGTATATGATCATTATTATTATTATATTTCTACTATCATGTATAAAACCCATTTTATACTATGATATATTCATACAGTCATGGTACAATTCCACCGCTCCATGGTATAAACTTGTATATTATCAAACATTACCACTAAAGATGACAATTTTGTTCAAACCCATATGGGTATTTCTAGGGCTAGGAATCGGTGCAGTTGCGGTTAACCGCACCGAAATTTGTAGTTAACCGCAACCGAAATGTAGCCATTTACATCAACCGCGTCCGCACCGCAAACGGTTTGTGGTTAACCACTTAGCCACGAAGTACGGTTAACGGTTAATCGTTTGTAACTGTGTACTAACCATTTTTATGATTTAATGACATTTTGGTCTATAGTTGTGCCACTGTGTCACGGTTAATCGCACTAACCGTGGTTAATCGTGGGGAACCACGTTAGTAATCAGTTAAAATGAGATTACATGTTGTTCGGTTTCGATTGCGATTAACCCCCAAATCGTAAAACATACAATATTGCTAACCGCGATCGCAAAATACTTTTTTTACGGTTTGCGGTTACTTATCCAACCCAAATATATTGTAAATGGGTTAATGGGTAGTTGTCATCTCTAATCTCACCACCATGGTATATATGTCATAATATTGTCTCAATTTTCTTTTGTTGCAAAATATATCAAATTAAATGCATTTTATTTCATTTTTTTTAAAGGTTAAATACATTTCATTTTGAAATGCCGGAATACTTTAACTTTTCTGTTAAAAGTTTTTTTTTAATCCGATTTAAAGAAAAGATATATTAGAAAAATTTATACATATATACTCACCAGAGCTCCCCTTTTTCTAAAGGAAGCTTAGCTTCCACAGTTGTGTTTGAATTGTTGAACTAAATTCGAATAGGTTTTGGTTTACGGATTCCTCCTAGGACAGGGACAGACATCTGTATAAATAAACCATCCCACTGGAGAATAATGAGGGCCTCGCCGAACTAATAGCTAATCACAACGTAGTAGTTCTATTGATCGAGGAAGTAGCCTAATTAACTATGTCGACGACGGCAACGGCAAGTCTGCCGTATGGTAAATATTATTGCCCGATCAAGGAAGGACGCCCGCCGCAAGAGGATCCGCCATGGGTAGATATCTCCTTTTGGAGTTGTCTTCTTTTCTTCTTCGTAACACTCAGTTTGCACATCTGCTGGATCGCCCGGACCAGAGCAAGGAAACCACGAGGAGACGTCGAGCAGGGTCGGCTGACTCCTCCCGAGCAAGACGATAATGATAGCGACGACGACGGAGATAGGTGGGACAATATTGGGTTATGGTATGGAGTCGAGGTTTTCAGGAAAAGTGGCAGCGGCAGCCTAACCCAAGGAAAGAGAGACGAAAGAAGACCATCGAATTGGGCGACAGAGGAATGTGTGATTTGCTTGGAGGAGTTCCACGATGGGGACGTGCAAGGCGTTCTCACGGTGTGCAGCCATGTTTATCATAAAACTTGTTTAGATCGTTGGCTCGCTAAAGACGACGGCGAGCCTACTTGCCCACTTTGCCGCGCGCCTCCGTCGATGATTGTCCATACGAAGCGTGAAACTGGAACCGGCTCGAGTGTGATTTTCTGTTAGAAACATGAGCTTTTGGTATTAATCATCGTTTGAGTGATTATTTATGTTTTGTGGGGTTTTTGGAGTTATTACGATATTTTGGTATTTTGTAGACGTCTTGGGGTGTTATTTGGTACTAGAAGTAATACCCGCGGCTACGCCGTAGGGACTTAAGTTGCAGTGTCGTGATTAATGGATGGACAGTTTAGGTTATGATAGAATGGGGCAGTTGTATTTTTCTCTGAGGTAAGGGGATGGAGAGCTATGCATGTTCAGTTCCATCTCCCTATCAATATGAGGTGAAGACTGTGAAAGGTTAACTGCAAACACACGATCGTTGATAAAAACAATTTGGCAATCATTTTCCATGGGTTAGGATTTAGGAAAGACATATAGGTGTTATAGCATTGTCACAGAGAATCGAAACAGAATACGATTTTCCATGAACCAGGAAAGACTATAGATACACAAACTAACTGTTACAACATTGATATTATATAAGCACAATTCATTAGATAATTCAATACTATAGATACAGAAACTAAACAGAATATGCAGCTAAAGTAAGGCTCCAATTGCAGCTGTCTTCCATACATTGGCAAAACATGGTTGGCACTTTTGCATGGAGCAAGTAGATAAGCATACAACAGTGGTTCAAGTGCAGCAAAAGTACCATAAGCAGTCCCGGTGTCCTCAGGAACTCCACTAATGAAATAAGATAAGGGAAGTGGAGATTAGGGAAATGAGTATAGTGATCACATTCATGAAATGGTGGAGAGAAGGATGGCAGGTAAATTCACGGCAAGATGGTGAGGCTCTAATCCCGCAGTCACAATCGCTTTCCCCCTGTTTTTATCATTCAAAGGTGAGCTGGTAATGCTGATCCCTGCCAGCAGAGAAGTCAATCCGCAAAAAACAGAGGTTCATGACCTTTTCAATCAATGAATGGATGCAAAATGAACAGAGGTTTGGTGAGAACGACCACAGGAACTGAAGTTACCATTCATGACGGTGGCAATATAAATGTGAACAATAAGAAATCGAGTGAAGCATATAGGTGAATAAGGTCATAGGCTACGCAAGGGAGGCACTATTTCCTTTACCGTGAATATGAAGTAATCTTGCAATAAGTGAATGGTGAAGAACACATAGAAGTTGGTGGGCTAAACAACACATATCCAACAGGGACCGGCGAGTAAGGTTGGCCAGGCAAAGCAGTGATTTTGGAATTCTAAGTAGGCTTAGCAGGTGTTGCAGGTGCATTCGCAGCTGAGACCACCACCTCGCCTTTAAGGATGTCGTTGCTGAAGGACCAATAGATGTGCAGCATTATCGATGGCACAAAAAGCAAGGTTAATTTGACAGAAGTAACATAGGTGCTGAACAAAAAAAAAATCTAAGGCTAATTCTATGTGGCGGGGCATACAGAATTTCCGGAGCAAATGGGCATTTTATTTGGGATTGTCGCAAGCAAAGTCACGAAATGCATTCCACAAATTAACAGGTTTGAAGTGGACCCATGACAATGAAGGACCAATGAGAATAATGTACTTGCCTGATATCTAGGGGTTGCACTGGTTGGGGAGCCCTAAACTCCATTGACTCCCCCAGGACACACTCAGCAAAACTGTACAGTGTGCGTTGAGAAAATTCAAGTCATGGTTGAATGAAAAAGAGTGGCGGTGACATGACTGAATTCATTTGGGAAATAAAAGAAGACTGTCAAACTGCCACACGTACCCGGGACCAGCAGACCGAGGACATTTGGTGGGGGAAGGCAGAAGTGTCTTGTAAGAGGTGGGCAAATAGATTTGTTGGCTAAATCTTATTATGTGTGGATACATTGAAAGAAAGATTGACGATGGACTCGGGTTGGTCTTCCTTTACAACAGCTGAGACACGTAAGTCATCTCTCGGTTCTGAAACTTGGCCTAGATAAAGATTGACGATAAAGGTATATTCCTTGCCGAGCAAGGCTTCAATCTCTGCACGATAACCGCCACCTCGATCAGGGCCAGCAGCAAGCAGATTACCAATGTGAAACCTTCAAGAGTGTTTCTGTAGCCTGGACAAACAACACAAAAGGGGTATAGACAAACCCTCCTCGACCATGAGCCTGATATGGAAACGGACAACATGAATACAAACAATGTAGCAGGTTAGTGTTGCATAAGTGCAACTTGGGGGAGGCTAGAGAAATAATAAGAGAAAGCCTATGAGCCTACCAATATTTTAGTTGATGTGGATGGACAGTGGCATCACATTGGCTCACCAGTAAGGGGTGTCGCGGCAAACAAAGGATTTAGAAAAGACAGTGCATCCAAGGTAGCACCAATTGCGGGATGTATCCAAGTCAGTAATCTTGCCCCTGCACCCAAATTTCCCTCCTTGGAACACGCAAAGCAAAAGCACAATTAAATATAAGGAAGGCATGGCACACGGTGGTCCGAGGCCCGACCAGGCAGGAAACGACACACATCATCACAACAGTGGACTGGATAACCTGTAGCTCGGGGATTGTCTTGAACGAATCACGGTATATGGTGATAGCCATCTGCAGGTGTGTCAAACTCATTTGGTTCGACCCAAATAGTGCCAACAGCATCACGAAAGCTGCATATGAGGAAAAAGTGACGTTCCTGTGAAAAGAAACCGTAGAACCAAAAACTATAGAGCATCGAAACCTACTGTGCTGCAAGTGGTGTAGCTTGCGGGACTGCGAGCGAGATGACAATGCACGCCACGAAAGTGTTTGATGCACCAACGTTCCCTGTGCAAAAGGGGTGTGTTAGAAAACCCAAAGCCGGAATGAAAGTGGCCATGCAACACTAAATGCACAGTAAATACCACAACTACCTCAAAATGAAGTAGCAAAGGCACTGAAAATGTCGTAGAGCAGCAGTGAAGGCACAAAGCAAACGGGTGTACAAAGATACATGTCCAAATCCCACCGATCATGAGAAAGCAAATTCCATAAATTTTAGAGTAATCGACAAAGGGTAATGAAAAGGGAAAAACAATGACCAATTAGAGTCCGTCACACATCGTTGTGAAAAATGCAAAGGCCAACAGAGCAATGACGTAAAATGATAAAGGAAGGTGCAACAAAAGCAACTATTTAGGCACCACGCTGAATCATCTAACCTAAGATACGTGGTGGGCGTGAATCACAAACAAACAAAGAACAGGAGTAAACGCACCATGCCAAATAGAGAGCTTGAGGCTGCTGAATGACACAATGACCGGTACTACTTCGTCGAGTTGAATGAGTTCAGGAAGGTTCAGTCTTTCGGCTAACACCATCCACAACGTGATTGATAGGGAGGCTTTGCTGCGTGTGGAACAGACACATGACCGACATGCAAACTTGAATGAGTGACAAAAAAGGAGACAACAACGACATACCGTTCATTATCAATTACAACAATCTATCATTTGATGGAGTGCTCTTGCTATTGGAAATAGCTAATGGGCGTTGTAGAGTGCAAACACCAACCGATCAACAAAATCTATGCACAAAGCCGTTTTTCTTAGGAGGCAGACCATAAATGAGTATAAGTACAAAGGAAAGAAGAGGAGACACACCAACTACAGAGGCAGGCCCCTAGGCGATGTTGTGGAGGTCCTCCAAGCAGTGTGGTTGTCTTCAGTTGAGGATATGAAAGAAGTGTTGAAAGTGAAATACAGGAGACGGTAATTGGAGCATGATGATTAGCGTATCCTAGATTCACACTGCACAAACTGAGTGAGAAAGCATATCTTCCCAACCTCAATAATCTCTTTCAATTGACCAGAGAAACTTGGACGAAAGTCCATGACCAGCACACCCTGCGAGAAGAGCGACAACTGAACAATAAGTAAGGAGCGACAAACTTACATGGGAGTAGGAAGTAAGGATTGACAGAACTCACCAATTCATCTGTCCACAACGTCGCCGGAGAATCCATCGGCCGCGAAGGATTCCTAGGCATCGATGTATGGAGGAGGCATCAATGTCAGTCCATGAGAGCTTTGAAAGGACGACGTGATTCATAGGAGCGCGCTAGGCAGAGGAGGTCACCACTAAAGAGGAGCAGACAAAGAATCGACCGTCAAAGCGGGAATAGAGGAAAAACCAAGCGAAGAGGAGGCGAAGACGAACTAAGAAGTAGTGGGGCAGAGCAGGTCGCTCTTCCAAGAATCAAAGGAGGGCAAGGAGAGGGAGGTACAATGAATTGCTGGTGGCGTGTTGAGGAGGAGCGAAGTGGGCTATGAGTGGCAGACCGGCGTTTCCGGGAAAGAGGCATGGTGAAAGGATGGAAGCACAAAGAGCGATCCTTTGTTGCAGATTTGGCCGTAAGGCCGACTGGGGACCTGCGTACGAAGGGTATGGCTGCTGATTAAACCGTGGGCAAGCGGAGCTGAACGTTGATTTGACGCAGGCGCAGCGGCGGCAGCACTGGAAACGGAAGCCGACCCGCCGTGAGCAGCTGTCTAGCTAAGAGCTAAAAACCCTTTTTCGCTTGACGACAGAAAGTGAAACAGTAGCAATAAGTTGTGGTAAATAAAGCGTACCCACCTTTTATCTTTTAAAGAATTTTCGTGATGAGGGTTAATTGTGGATAGTTTAAGAAAATTTATTGAATCATATAATCCGTAAATGTGATATGGATTTATTAAGCAAAATACAAAAGCATAATTTTTCATAAACCTAAGTCTATTTCTTTCTCTCTTCTCATTCGTTTTCTTCCCAGCTAGGTTATAGCTTCAGGTTGTGGTGCTAATCGATTTGGTATCGGTTAATCAGTAACTGATATGGTGGTTAGCGGTTAACTAATAAGCAAAAAATAAAAACTTATATCAATAACCGAACTGATCATGGTAAGCCTTATCGATTAACCGTCGCTTATCGATTTAGTTAGCGCTTAGTTTGACGATTAACCACCAACCACCAACAAACATCATGTACGCCTATGTTTGGCCCGACTTTTAGAAGTGCTTTTCGGTTTCAAAAGTTGAAGCAGGGCCAAACACCTCTAAAAGCTCGGCTTTTGAAAAGCCGAAAAGCGCTTTTGTATAACATAAAAGCTGAAGCTCCAATTTGAAGCTTCTGCGAAAATTAATTTTGAAAATACAAAATTATCCTTACCATATTTTAATTTTATTTCAGAAAATATAATTTTATTTTATTTATATCATTTAAAAAATAAAATAAATTATAAAATCATATTATTTAATATAAAAGAAATCTAACAAGAACCATTTTGAGTACTTTTTATTGTTTAAAAATTTTATTCATAGTTTATATGATAAGTCCTTTATAATCATTTTACACAAGCTCTCATATTAAAAACCACTTATAATAGTTTTTTTGGGTATAAACTTGTAATAGTTTTTCAACCAAACAAGAACTGGTTTTTTTTAAAAGTACTTTTCTAAAAGCTCCAGCCAGAAGCTCTTCTGCAAAAGTTACAGCAGGGCCAAACTAGCTGGCTACTAGGCTTTTGACAGCGTGAGCTGGAGTTGTCTGTTTAATGTTTTATATGGTAATGGGGTTTCCAAGGAAATGGTGTAACTGGATACGTGAGACTATGTGCTCTCCAGTTATCTCGACAATTATCAACAGGGATGCTAAAAGGTTCTTTAAAACTGGGAAGGGTCTCCGCCAGGGTGACCCGCTTTCGCCTGGACTGTTCACGCTCATTATGGAGATGCTTTTGTTCATGCTGTCCAAGCTTAACGAGGCAAGATCCGAGGTTTCTATATGGATGAGGCAAGTGGTGTCGGTGAAGTCACTCATTTATTGTTCGCAAATGACACGTTGATCTTTTGTGAAGCCTCCACTGATCAAGTTCTGTATATCCTTGCTACCCTTGTCTGTTTTCAAGCTATCACAAGCCTCAAGATTAATATTGAGAAATCAGTGATGATTGCAGTAGGAGACATCCCAAACCCAGAGTATTTTGCTGTTGTGTTTGGCTGTATTTGGACCAGGGATGTATCGAAATACTTGGGGTTTTCGCTGGCGGCTAAGGTAAACTTTGTTTCAATATGGGATCCAATCATTGATAAGTATGAAAGATGTCTTGCAGGCTAGAAAGGTCGATATCTCTCGCTTGGGGACCGTGTAATACCCCGAATTTTTGGTTCAGGTTCGACCTGTAATCGAGTAGGTTCGATTGGTAGCATATTTATTGTTAATCAATTTCTATTTTCCTAACTAAGGATAAATAGGTTTTAGTTAAATTAATTTAATTTATATTATAAAAAAAAAAACCAAACCACCCAAACTCGTTACCTCTCCCTCTTTGTCCCTTCTCCTACTCTCTCAGACTCTCTCTACCCGTTACTTTCCCCAATCCAAATTAAATTCATCTTTAATTCTTCAATCCCACACCCGTTAAACCTCATTCCTCCCCAAACGTTCCCTACTAAATCCCCCTGAATTCCGACCGAGAAAGAGCAGAAGCCACAACAGCGCCGATAGGCTTCCCTCATCGACCCAGCAAGTAGTAGCTATCGCCGGGTATAAACTGAAGCGGCTGCCGACGACAATCAGCAGAATAGACCCCGACCTAAATGCCCCTCCTACGTATCATCGCACTCCATCGATCAAGAGAGCAGTAGCAAGCTATCAGCGACCCAGGGTAGAAACAAGCAGCAGAAGTCGATCGCCCTTCTTTATTACCCTCGCGATCAGAAGCAACAACTTCACCATCCATCGACCCTCTTCCCTCCCCTGTTCGTTTGTCGCACGTCGGAGAAGTAGATGAGGGAAGAGAAGAAGGAAAAGAGGGGGAAAGGAAAGAGTCTGGGCACTGGGTTTTGATCTGGAGAACGTCATAAATCGTTCCATGGAGTCGGATTTGCGTTTGGATGTCTGTAGATGCCTCGTCGGAGCTTTGCCGGGGCTTTGTCGGCGTGTCACCGGAATCTGGAAATTTTTGAAGTTCGACGGAACTTTGAAAGGTGAATATGGTTGCATAGAGGGCGATCTCAGGAGCGTCATTATGCCGGCGAAATCAAATTCGGATGTCGGATGAGGGATAAACGAGTCTCCGAAGTTTGGAAAAGAATATATCAACGATCAGGTATCGTACTGTGTAATTTGAAAAGATAGGGGATTGATTTCGTAATTTTCCAGAAGGGTCAGGGTCAACGGTGTTGACTTGAAAAATTACAGATTCGGTACCTAGTATTTCGGAATCTGACAGAATTCGTATTTTGGTCATATCTTGTTCGTTTGACGTCCATACAAGGAACCGTCGGCGCCTACGTGATGGTGGAGGAGAGGAGAATTTCATGGAAGAAACTCATATAATTTTGGTGCAGAGTAAGAGTTGGTTTCGACGGAAATGAGGTGAGTGTAAAGGGGGTAAATTCTACGCCTTACGGTATTTCAGCTTTGAGATTGACTGCTATCAGCTATGTGCTATATGTACCTTTGTGTGTTTATTTGATGCATGTAATTGCACGTGATTTGTGCTTCCAGTTATACATATGATAATGCGTGTTTTATTTATAAGTAAGTTGAAGTTTAAGAACACGCTTTCTTTTCAGAAGTACTTCACCTTCAAGAAGGTGAAATCGTTTTAAGAGTTTTTAGTCACTAGCGCCTGTCCGTTGTCAGATACCAGACAATCAGTTACATGTTACTGTGTTTTTCTTAGTGATTCATTAATCTCTTGAAAATCGAAGAAGCAATCCATAGTGTCTCGATCTTCCTGCAAACCAAAGTATATAGCAATAACATACATCACTTGCGAGATCCAATAACTCTAGTATCTTCTTTGTTATTTCAAGATTGATCATCGAAAGTCATTACAATAAAACCTATATTCGGTGACAATTTTTTGCACGACCAAGATTGATTGGTTGCAGAAAGTTAATATTTTTCAACTCTTTATCACATTGTCGCCATAAACAAATGTTTGCCGAACAATTTGTTAATATGATCTTCGATAACATATGAATCAACGGCCATATGATTAATGATTGTCGATATCCTATATGTGGACGACCATTAATGAAGTGGTCGGTAATAGCCATAAGGTTTAACGACTATATATAAGTAGTCATTGATAACTTAATAATTTATCGATCACAAATTATAATGGGTCGTAGATAATCATCTTTTTAGCAACCATATTTTAGTAATGGTCGTGGGAACTAAATATTAGAATTGAAACTTGGCGTGTTCGTCCTGATTCCTAAGAGAGGCGGGCGGAATAGTTTTTGGTTTATCGTTTGCAACCCATATTTTACTGATCGCAAACCATAAATGTTCAGCGACTATTGTGTTTGTTCACATAACAACAATAATTTACATCGAAAGAAACGAAAATAGAATCTGCAAATGTAGAGTCAGTCCAACGACCTGTAAGAAGGAAAAATGTCTCTTGCCATTGTCGGATTCCTTTGTGATAGTCCACCTCTCCTTCCATTTCACGAGGAAAAACATTATTATTAGTTTTTTTTATGTATTCTTGCGACCAATTCTAGTTGTCGTGGAAAAACATGGTCTTTGTGATCGGGATCTAAAGGGTCGTCGAAATTAATATTCGACGATCATAATGATTGCGACAAGAAGATTTGCAGCAAAAACATTGGTGACCACATAAATAGTTGTAAATACATGTTTCTGATGACCACTTTAACAGGATCACTGCAAGTATCACTTTCAACGATCACAAGTTGTGGTCGTGAAATGTTTGACTTGGTGATCATTTGTTGTTTGACTTGGTGATCATTTGTGATAAGGGCCGTCTTTTAGATTATGCGACGCGATATAGAAGACCACTTTGATAACACAATTATTTCAGTTGCAAAAAATTTTGGCGACCATTTTAATTTGTTGGTCACAAAATTCTATTTTTGTGGTAGTGACACTACAGAAAAAGTTGTCTATAGCAACGGTTTTTTAACCCTACAACCATTTGAGTTGATGAAGATGCAGGTTTTAATTACCGTACCAAACAGAGTGAATTGGATTGTCACATTGTTCGTGAGAAGGCACAAGTACATATCTTTATGAGCTACTCCATGGTTGTTCAGATAATCAGCTGACATACATTCTCACCGGAGTACTGTCACCATCACGTTTTTTTGTTCTTCTCTCCAAGTTAGGTTTTCAGTCCTGCTTACCAACTTGTGGGAGGTAACATAATAAGTATTTTCTTCTTCAGAGAAAGTACAGGAGAGGAGAATCCCAGACAACGATAGCTTACTAATGGATTTTAATTTTGATTTATCATTTATTTGCCGTTTTTATTTTACACGTCAACTATTTCAAAACTATTGTTTGTTATCTTCTTCCGCTATGAATTGAATATAACTAAAGAAAGAAGGAAAAACCGGTTACGCTTTCTTACTCACAAATTCATTTCTTATAATGTTCAACACAATCACAAAACTAAAACCAAATAAGAGGACAAACACACTATGAGAAGAAAGTGAAAACTAGCAGCTGCTAGGGTTTGGAATTACAACTACTGGATTAATCTAGCCAATCGGGAGTGGACAAGTGTCCAGAGTTAAGTCTCCCTTTGTGCACCGTTTCTATAAAGCAGAACGACGTCGTCCTTCTTATTTATTTACTGTCCAGGTTTGCTAAACTAGTTAAAGGAAGCTCGAACCAAACTCGATCCAAACCCCATGACTTCATATTCTTCCTTAGCAGAGTGCTGCTTCTGATACTTTGTCAATCTACCATTGGAGCACTCTGCTTGATATGCCCCCTCAAGCTAGCAAGTACATATCATGTACACCGAGCTTGGAGAGAAAGAAATTAAATCGATCAGCAGACAACCCCTTTATAAACAAATCATCCAACTAGTTCTTAGTGTTTAAGTGAAACAAATTCAGAAGTCTTTATTTTAGCCTTTCCCTCACTACATAGCAATCCACCTCTATATGTTTCGTTCTCTCATGATAAACTGGATTTTTTGCTATGTGTATTGCTGACTGATTGTCGCAATACACCTTGACTGGACTTGAATGAGTGATTCCAAAGAAATTCAAAAAATCCTTTAGCTACTGCACCTCACAAGACAATTGTGCCATTGCTCTGTATTCTGGCTCGGAGGACCAACACAAAACTGTGCCTTGTTTCTTGTTTTTCTAAGTAATTAGAGAGCTTCCTAGGATGGTGCAATACCCAATTATTGATTTTCTGGAGTAGGGCATATAGCCCAATCTAAATCACAATATCCACTTAGTTGTAGGCTTGAAGAAGAAGAAGAAGAGAACCATAAACCCTGCCATGGACGGCCCTTTAAGTGCCTCATGATTCTATGCAAGGCTTTCAAATGAACAGTTGTAGGTCGATCTTGAAACTGACTGAGTTGGTGGAAAGGAAAGCAAATGTCAGGCCTGATAGTTGTTAAATACTGCAGCTGACCCAAAAGATGTCTATAAACCATGCCATCATCAAGCAATGTTCCATCACCGACAGACAACGTGGTCTTCATACTGATTGGATTCTTTATTGGTTTGCATTCCAAGAAATCTGCATTCTCCAGCATTTCAAGATAGAACTTGTGTTGACATAAGGAAATGCCAGCCTGAGTTCTTGCAATTTCCAGTCCCAGGAAATACTTCAAATTCCCCAAGTCTTTAACTTTAAAACCCTTCAGTAATTGTATTTTAACATGTTGAATGTCCTCCAAGTTTGGTCCTGCCACAATAATGTCATCTACATAGATGACCAACAACAGTGGAGGTTTTGAAAACTGAGTAGTCTTCATAAGACTTCTGAAACCAAGCTTGCTCAAGAACTCTATTAGTTTAAGGTACCATTGATGACTAGCTTGTTTAAGCTTATATAAGGATTTTTTAAGCTTGCAAACCTTTCCTTGAAGGTGACTTAGCTCCCTTAACCTAGGTAGTAATTCCATATAAATCTCCACCTCTAATTCACCATTAAGGAAAGCATTACTCACATCTATTTGATGGAGATGCCACTGCTTGATGGCAGCAACTGCCAAAAGAAGTTTGATAGAATTGATTTTAGCAACAGGAGAGAAGGAATCAACAAAGTCAACTCCATTGTTTGTGTGTAACCCTTAGCCACAACTCTAGCTTTAAACCTCTCTATAGCCCCATCAGAAAGAAACTTAGTCTTATAAACCCATTTGCATCCTATGGGCGTGATATTCACTAGTCTATAACCAATATCCCAAGTCTTGTTAGCATCCAATGCAATAACCTCCTCCTTCATAGCTTGCTACCAACAGGGATGAAGAGCATTTTGGGAGTAAGTATGAGGATCAGGATCCATGGAGATGGATAAGGTGTAATGTTTGTGAGAAGAGGAAAGATGAGATTAGGAAATTATGTGAGAAAGTGGGTAAAGTAGTTTGTCATCAAACCAGGTGGAGCTGGACTGAGAAAGAAAAGAGGTATGAAAGGAGTCTAAATGTTTAGGAGGTCTGATGACTCTTTAGGGCTTTTGAAGAGCAATAGGTAGAGAAGGAAGTGGACGGGAGGAAGTGGAAGGTGGTGTGGGAGATGGAGGAGGTGTAGGTGGAGAAGAAGACATAGGTGAAGAAGGGGGAACGTCTGGATTAGTAGTTTCGTGGAAGTTATGAACTTGAGGAAGAGGAAGATCATCAAAATAGAAGGTAGGTACGTGACCATGAGAGGAAGGAGCAGTAGGGGCAGAAGATGTATGTGATGTCAAGAAAGGGAATTCAGAATCAATAAATTCAACATCCTGCTGGTAAACACTGAGTGAGCATCAAGATCATATAGTTTGAACCTTTAACACAAAAATGGCATCCTAGAAAGACTGCCTTGACAGTTCTAGGTGCAAACTTTGGTTTGTGATCTTGAACATTCGTGGCAAAGGCAAGGAAACCAAACACTCTAAGATTACTATAATTTGGTAGTATCCCAAACAAAGACTCAAAATTGTATTTGTTGTTCAGAACAGGAGTAGGAATAGTGTTAATTAAATAAACTGCATGCAACACAAAATGAAACCAGAAACTAATTGGTAATTTTGATTGAAATTTCAGTTCCCTTGCTATATTAAGAATGTGTTGGTGCTTCCTCTCAACTCTACCATTTTGTTGAGCAGTATGCACACAACTAATTCATGAAGGACACTTGATGACTACATATTTACACATGTTTTGTCCCTAATTTCTTGATTGTTTAGCTTGGTTTTTATCATACTCTGTCCTACTTTACGCTAGGTTATGTTCTTTTATCACATTTCAGTTGCTAGCACGTAAAGTGAAGCATAGGCTCAAGTTTTCAAGTCAATCGGAGATCAATTGGCGACTCGTGGGAAGTAACTCGGGCATGACCCGAGGAAGTATGAATTTTTACCTCACTTTATGGAATTATAATCATGTAATCTTGTCATGCAAATAAAGAGGACGAGAATACAAGAATCTGGATCAAACAATGACTAATTTGGAGTCCGAACAAGGGAGAAACAATACATTCAAGATAGGCGAATAGGAGCAAGGAATTCCACGGGTTGGAGACTAATTCCACGGTCGTGGATTAGGTGTTTAGACCATGTATTTTGATGATGAGAAATCTACAGATTGGAGAGTCAATTCCACGACTGTGGAATATAAGGGGTGTCCGTGGAACATGCCGGTAACGGGTATAAAGGCCTGTTTTATGTGTTTTGAAGGAAGAGAGCTGGGTTTTGGTTCCCAAACACCCAAGCGACGAACCTTAGAGAGAGAGCACCTTGCGATCATCTTGGAGCTATTTTGGAGGATTTCTTCGTCATTGGAGCTCGGGAAACAAGCTTGGAGATGGAGATTGAAGATCTAGATCAGATTTTCACATTCTCTCTCTTCTCTATGGAGTAACTTCCCGTCACTTAGGTTTTGAGGAACCCTAGATTTGTATGCTATGAAGATTTGTATGAACTTGAATTCATGATTGATTGACGTTTTATATTCAGTTGAGGCATTGATTCAGAATTACTTGAGTCCTTATCAAACGTGTGTGAATTCTGCTTTAACCTGGAACGATAGTCTCTGCATAATTAAAAGAGCAACCCTAATTGGAAGTAGTGAATCGATTACTTTAGTCGAGAAGTTGATTCACTGTTCTATACTAGAATTGAATCTAGTAGTGGAAGTTTGGTGTGTTATTTCCTTAGTTAGCTTACGCCAGTGGAGGTTAGTCGCCCGCCGGGTATTCGAATTGAGATGTTATGGAATTCTTTAGTCGAGACTCCAGAATTGTCAAGAATTTTCCGCAATATATCTGTCAACTGAATTGGATTGGGTGAATTACAACTTGGACTAACTGTAGACTAGGGGGAATCATACCTAAGTGAGTTCCCAACCTGTAATTGGTAGAGTAGTTATCGTACAGTAGTTTAGTAAATCAATCCTTAATCTGGTTTGCTAGATAATGAACTGAAGCTTAGTAATAGTAACTCGAGAGACTCGTGGATTTGATATTTATTTCTTGTGTCACTATACTGCAGTCCCTTTCATTGGTTACACTTGGCCATTGTTAAGAGTTGTGTTTTAGCGAGTCCAGTTTTTGGCACTATGCTGGGGACTTTCTAGATTATTAGGAATGGCAAAAGTTTCTTAATTTATCTTTTGTTTCTTTTGGTTTTCTTTTCACCCTTGCTTTTCATTTGAGTGTTTTTGTTTTCTGATTGTGCATATTTGAATCATGAATACATATGGCTTCTCTGACTAGTGGGGGTATCAACCATCACCCGGTTGGTATTACCCTAAGACTTCATGGGATAACCCATACGAAGAAGGCTATGGATTTGGGTTCCAAGAAGAACAAACCCCCTACTATGGAGAATAACCAGGTTACTGCTACTTGCTGGGCATCTCAAGAACAATAAAATTATCATGAAGAATGCCTCCCATGACCAGAAGGAGCATCAGAGCTGGAGTTAGCCATTGCGGCCTTCACGGGCCATTCTGCAGAGCCATGCTACACTCCACGGGCATATTCGAACAAACAATTGAGGCTTCTCGTGGAGAATTTTGCTCGGGACACTGAAAGATCATGCTCCAAGATGAACCTTCATATCCAAACCATTGCCCAAATTGACTTCTCCTTTCGTGAAACAGAGGAGACCCTCCTAAGCATAAAGAAGAACATAGAGGTCATTGAGAAAGCTTCTGCATAGTTTGCTCAATACAACCTTTATGCTACCATACAAGCAGAGAAGGAGGAAGAAGAAGCCAGTCACGAGGATGCTGATGAGCATACAGAAGTTGTCACAAAGAGCTCCCGTGATAATCATGATCAGGATTGTCCCCGGGTGGCAGATCACACCTTTCCCCATTTCTGCTCTGACATGTTGGGCTTGAGCGAGGAGATGCAAGAAGATCTCATCAAATAAATTGCTTGGAGACTTGCTCTCCAATCGATTATGGAAGAAGAAGAGAGAGAAAGGGTGAGGGAAGAAGTTGTAGAGGACGAGGAAGAAAGACATGATGAGAAGATTCTTGATCTTTTTGGAGGGAAGGAATCAAATTCTGAGGAAGGATGGGTGTTTGAAGATGCAAATGTCGTCCATGCTGAGGACGAAGTTGAGGTGGAAGAGGCTTGCACCGGCCATGAGTTACATTTGGTATCTCCACTAAACTTCGATGAGCTGCCTGGCAAGGACCCATTTGCAGTGTCTCTTTGCCACACCAAGGCCACATCGACATTGGTCCCTTTTGATGGATGCGACAGTGGTCAATCTATGTTGTCATATATGGTTTGGGGAAATAAGACGAGAGACAAAGAGAATAAGAGGTCTTGAGGGTGGAGAGTTCCTCTACATCAAGGGCACGAGCCATTTTCGTCACTTGCTATGTCACGTGCTCGTGACTTGAGACTCCACCTCATCGACGAGAACCTCAACTTCAAGGAGGTTTTGGGGTGGACCAAAACTTAGGATCCATCCTCCGGCTCACGACATGAAAGAAGCGCTTGTTGAGATGCAAACCAAGTAGTTGGTTTGCATTTCTTTCCCTATTTCTCTTCGGTTGAGTCTGTTTTGTTCTTTGATTTTAGAGTCAATAACTCAACCTTTGTGAGATTTTGTGTGGTGTTTATGTGCCGACAGCTCTCTCTACTCCCCTGGAATGTGCCGACTGTTTAGAGTCAATAACTCAACCTTTGTTCTTTGATTCACACTTGATATGGTTACTTCGTTCTACCCTCATTATCTTTCCTCCATGCAAGAAATGTCGTGCTTAAGCGTGTGGGGATTTTCCATTATGTTTGTGTATGAATGTTTGGTTGTAGATAATTGCTTGGAGCCTAGTCCACCATCCAAAATTTTAAATTTGAGGGCTCAAAGTACGTGTCCCTTGCAAATTCCTGCTCAGTATGCTTTGAATTGATAGTCTTTATAGTAATATGCAACCTAGGAAGGTAGTGTAGCACTATGCTGGATGTTGATGCATTAAGAAGTCTATTTTCTCCTTCATATTGTGTTGGTTGATTGTGAGAATTAGTGATCTTAGAACACTGGAACTGTGTGTGATTCGGGCCTAATTGCACATGCTTTGCCCCCGTTTTACTTAGATGTTTGTGCCAAATTCGCGCCTTAAAGGTTGGTTTTATGCTAGGTTTCTCGTGTTTGAGTGTGTTTCAGGATTTAACAGGTGAAACCAGCCTCAGAGTCGAAAGATTGGTGAAAAGGATTGAAAACAGGAAGAAGATGTGAAAAAGAGCCAGTTCACGGCTAATTGAAGGAGTTCACTGTCATCCAAGACCGTGAAGAAGTGGAGTTGACCGTGAATCGTGAGGTGTCCAGAGCCAATTTGAAGGTTACTGACACAAGGTGAGTTCATGGTCACTAAGACCATGAACACAAGCAGTTGCCCGTGAACTGACGTGAGCGATGTGGAGGGTTTTGGCGCATGCCCTGAGTTCACAGACGCGTTTGATGGTTCACAGCCGTGAACTCAACTATTCTCGGGTTTAAAAGCTGAGCTGCAAGGAGGAGAGAGGGAGGAGCCCACTTTTGTGAGAAACACCTTCTTCAGCATTCTAGTGAGAGAAACATAACCAAAGGGAAGAAGAAGGTTAGGGTTTGGCTTGAAGGCAGATTTTTGGGAAGATTTCCCCAAGGAAAGCTCAACTCAAGGGTCAAGAAGAGAGGAGGCATCCCCAAAGATGGTTTCCACCTTTTTCCCTTTTGTTCTTCCCACTTCTACCATGGAGTAGACCTCCTTTCACTTGGGTGTAGTGAAACCCTAACTCTACCATGTAGTTATTGGGTATTGTTCAATTCAATGTTTGAGGCATTATTCACATGATTGTGCATTCTTGTGCTTAGCAACTTAGGGGTTGTGCATGTTTTGTGCTTAGCATCCTAGGGATTGTGCATAGCACCCCTAAGTTTGTGCATTTAGGTGCTAGTAATCTAATTTGCCACCTTAGCCTAGTTTAGAGAGGAAAATCCCCCTTTCAAGGGAGACTCAATCGAGTTGGTTTTCCTTCTGCTTTTTAAGCCACCTAAACTACGTTGAGTTAGGGAAACCCTCAACATTGAATTAAACAAGTCGATTAATTGTGGTTAAACCGTCCGACCTTCGAGTTGAGTGAGGAAGTAAGCCGACTAGCAATTGTGACTGTGGTCTCCGACCACATACGCTTTCCTCTGCGGTTCATGATTAACGTGCCCAAGGCAATCGTTCCAATCCACGTAGAATTGTAGCGGTTAGGGGGAAGTGACACGCTAAAACACATCACCGAACTGCGACCAAGTGTAATCGCATTCCGGAAATGCAGAATATATAGTGGCAAGTTCTATTTATCAACTCGGGGTCTAGATCTACTGCCTACTCCATGATAGAACGCTGAGGCAGTTAACATAGAACTCCACCACTGGAATTGGATTCCAGTACAAAGCAGTGAATCGACTGACTCTCGTATAACCAATTCACTACTACAGTACTACCGATTGAGGAAACGCTGTCAACCTAATCATATTCTATCGATCTCAGGTTGCAGCAGAAATCAAGAAAAGTTGATCAGGCTTTAATTGAGACAATAAAACATGCCTCAATCGATTATAACCATGCAGTATATCAATCAAAAAATCATTACAATCAATATCCCTAACACATGGAACTAGGGTTCTTCATGCACTACCTGCACACATAATGCAAACACAACCCGTGAAGGCACAAAGGTGGAAGAGAGAGAATGCAGTAAAGAAAAATCTTGAATAACAAACTTTCATGTTTCCATAATAACCTAGAGATCCCCGGCAACGGCGCCAAAAACTAGACACGCTAAAACACAAAACCAAACTGCGACCAAGTGTAATCGCAGTCCGGAAATGCAGAATCGTGGAAAGTTCTATTTATAAACCCGGGGTCTAGATCTACTGGCTACTCCGTGATTATATATTATCTAGCAGATTAAGTTGAGTGAATGTGATTTTAAGCAAAATCAGTAAGAAAGCAGGAAATGGTTCGAAGTTCTTAAGTAGGGGAAGAGTCACTCGGGAATGAGTCCCCCTAGCTCCTTAGTTAGGTCAAAGTTGTGATTAACTTTGGTTGATTTATTGTTGATTAAACTGCGGAAGATCTGACAGTAGCTTGGAATCTCTTAAGCTGACCAAGCCCTCTCAGACAGACTACCCGGCAGACGACTAGTCTTTACCGAGATAGAATGCTGAGGCAGTTAACACAAAACTCCACTACTGGAATTGGATTCCAGTACAAAGCAGTGAATTGACTAACTCTCGTATAACCAATTCACAACTACCGATTAAGGAAACTCTAACAACCTAATCAGATTCTATCTATCTCAGGTTGCGGGAGAAATCAAGAAAAGTTGATCATGCTTTAATTGACACAGTAAAACATGCCTCAATCGATAATAACCAAGCAGTATATCAATCCAAACATCATTACAATCAATATCCCTAACACATGGAACTAGGGTTCTACTCCATAGGGAGAGAGGAAAACAGAAATCAGAGCAGCCATACTCATAAAGATGGGGATAATATGCTCTGGGATGTCGATCTTCACTCCTAGGGATGCAATCTGCTCTTCAATGGTGAAATCTCCACTCCAAATAGCTCCTAGGGTTTGTTCTTTGCACTTTCTCTCTCTAGAACTCTGTTTTTGCTCCAAAAAGTCGACTACACTTCCTTTGGCTCGAATCTGCCTCTTAAAACCCGATTCTGGGCAAAATACGGGCAGAAATATGGTTGTAATTCTTCCCTGCCAGTATTTTGCCCAAAACGAGCGTTTTGGTTAAGTCTTAGCGCATCCAAGGCACCTCTTGGCACTAAAAATATGGGCATGGGAGGGAAAAATACGGTCGTATTTCTCCTGCCAGTATTTCTTCCTCCGCTCCTGTTTAATGCTTCGTTTCTCCCTCAACTGGACTCCAAATCAGTCGCCGTTTAATCCTAGACGCTCGTAGTCTCATCCTCTTTCTTTTATTGACAAGATTACATAATTATTTTTCTATAATACGAGGTGGAAATCATTCTTCCTCAAGTAATGCTCGAGTTTCTTCTCCCGAATGACCAAACAATCTTCAAAAGACCCGAAACTTGCGCCTAATCATCCCTTTATTTGCTAGGACCTGAAATATGACAAAATAACACAACCTAGTGTATATTAGGCCAAGACACCACAAATTTGAGCCAAAACGGTTAAGAAACAAGGGTGCAAATACGACGCTATCAGGAAGCGAAACCCGAGTGACTTTCACACAAAAGAGTTTTCAAACCCAATCACCTTTGCTTTCTTTTATTTTAATTAACAAACCTTTTAAACCAAAGTTTAGTTGCTAGATAATGATTTCAACAATGGAATTAGGGATAGACGGACCGGCCTGGGTCGATATCTAAATACTTGCCCTATACTGCACCCGATTAGAGTTTAAAAACTTGGACTCTAATTGGGGTTTAACTGTGGTGTAGTTTCGTGCGAGTCAATCTCTGCCTTACAATCGTGGATGGTGTCTCGATGGGCATTATCAGGAGAATGTAAGGTCATGGCAGGAGGTGATAATGATTGGTGGCTTGTCTGTTTGAGCGCTGCCAATGCTGGATGCGTCTCCACAATAGGTCCAGCAAACTTCCAAGATTTCCGAATCAAGTTTCAACCACGGCATATGTAACACCTTAGGCAAATCCCACATCGACAAAGCACGGGAGAGATCCATGGTTCATAAGTAGGAAACCGACCTTAACTGACAAGACACGTTTTGGAATGAAATGGAGGAGTTCTTGTGAAAACTCCGAACCCTACTGTCGTTGCCTTTAACCCTAGGGGAGAGATTCAAGAACCCGAGATGCATGCGGACAGGGAGTCGGCGGAACATAAACATCGATCCTTGAAGCAGAAAACAGTTAAAATATGCGTTCTAAAATTTGGCCCTACCATTAAGCCCACTTCTCAGATATCGACGCATAAGGATTTATCCAGGTCCACTACCATGACCTGAAACTGAAGCCCAGCTCAGCTTTTGACCTCAAACTCTAACCCTAGCCAACCTGAATCCCTCCAATCCCGATTCTCTATTGAAGCTTATGGCTTTTGATGGGGAGTCTCAAACCTTCCTGTCCACAGAACCAACCTTAGATTATCTTTCCTCTATCCTTCCCAATCACTCGAACCCTAACCATCCACTTTCCTTTCTTCTATCTATACACCATCCTCACATATTGCCCTCCCTCCATTCCACCTTCCATCATCTCCAGAACCCATATTACCCACTCTTCGTAAAATTTTGGACCTTACTCATAAACATTTCCCTCACCCACTACCCCTTCCCCCATTGTTTGCCCTATCCCCAAAGATTTGACCCAATACTTTGAACCTGAGCCCGCCAGACTGATGTCACAGCGTGTAACTCCCCCGGAGCCCCTTGATGGGCCTCTTTTCGAGCTTGAATCATTGGTTCAGAGGAGCAATTCAGTGGGCCAAATCTTTCAATTGGAGGAGAATCCGATCGAGGCAGGAACAAAATGGATCATTGCGGACATTGCAGCGGAGGTATATTGATATTCTGGTATTCGCATTTCTTCAATAAGTTGGATGTGTGGGAGGGGAGTTTTAGTCTTGCGATGACGCTTGAGGACACCAAATCTAAGATGACCTTTACTTTGCTCATCGTTTACGGCCCACAAGACAGATCTGGAAAACTCGCTTTTCTTGAGGAGCTTAGAGCCCTTTGTTTGAACGCCTCTCATCCCCTCTGTATTGCTGGAGATTTCAAT